TGAAACCTCATAAGCGAGCAATTTGGAACACTCTACATAGGCAGCAAATCGTTTTTTAACAATTAATTTCAACAGACCTGGATGTTATCATTCTCCTGCATGCTGGTATTGACCTCTCTGTGAATGATACATGCAATTCTGCCTTTAGAGTTTGACAGAAAGAAGGTGTCTTTTATGCTGCCTACATTTTGGAGCAGTCTTCATGTCAAGAGCACACCTTAAAATGCTGCCTACGTAGGCAACCCACTAGGTTTTGGACCAGAGCCAGTTAGGAGGTCAGCTAGACTCTTGCTTAAGCACGTCAGATTAGACCGCATTAATATTTGTAGGCTGACTCAAGCTGATGTGTTTATTGCAGAGACCTGGGTGGATGAAAGCTGTCAGTATTACATTGTCCATGCCGATTGCACATGCACATGCACATGCAAGTAGTGATGTGGTAATATTCGTCTCACTCTTCTCTTCATATTGGCAATTGTCACTCCATTTCTGATTGCTTAAGTAATGACACAGTTTCTAGGGACAGAGTTCAGAAGTGGCAGGTTTGGATGTGATGATGTTTCATGTACGTGGTGACGGCAAAGCAAGATGACACAATAGTTTCAGCCGATGCAAGTTAACTTAAGGACATGACTTGTCTGAGACCTTTGAGATAGCCCTGATATTAACTTGATATTTATGTAACCGATTATATTTTCCAACTTGGTAAAGGTATTTTTATCTTGTTGTCAAGACAAGAAAGCAGATTAGTGTACACTAATGATTAATTCATATTTTTTTACAACACTTTTCACAATACATACTGTTTCAAAGCATGTTTCTACATTAAAAGTAATAGAAAATGTCTTGAATTAACTGTATTTTTTTACTTTATTTATTTGGCATGACTAGCTGAGTGAAAGAGAAATATGCATTAGTGTGTCATGTAGTTTGATACATTTATGCAAGAAACAAGCAACACTTTTTGCCAATGAGGTAATTTGTCAATTTAAATGTAAATTTATCAAGTTTTAAGGATGTTTAGATCTTTTAGAGCTGGAAACCCTAATACAATTACTGATTAAAAATAAATATTATTTCATGCAGTTAAGTTTAAAGCAGGTTTAATATTTGATCTGCAAGGATCTCGTAAGCTGGTATAGCCTGTCTGAGTATAATCTGTCAAAACATTGTTTATTTGACATTAAAGCCTATTATTTTCTTCTAAAATAGGAATCGCATCCAGTTTCACTGGCCTCCAGCAGTGCATAGTGGGTGATTTTTACATTGAGAAGATGAATAAACCCCAGTCAAGACATTGAGCTGCTATTTAGACTCCTGCGCTTGTGGTGTGTGTGTGTGTTGCAAGTGAGAAGAAATGAGCCCTCGGGCTTGTTTGTTTAATTTGAACATTCATCCTTCGAGCTCACACAACCATATTAGAATGTCAGGGCAGAGGGCCCTTCCTATCTCTACCCTGCGTTTAATTATGCATCAGATTAGAGGGCTGTGTGTGTCTGTAATACAATTACTGCAGCATGAGAGTGTGTTATCTTCCGTAGTGAAACTGAAGTAGTTTTGATAGCACCACACTGATGTGTCTCTGTGTAATATAGAAGGGAGTTTCCTTTCCAGTTACTTTTGGGACCGTGAAACTTCCGAGATACAGTAAGAATGTATTTGCCATTGATGTATTCAGCCTTTTGCCTTAGTGGACCTTAATCAGTCGGCATGTAAATGAGGCTGTGAGGAATAGTAGATCAGTCCTTTCAGTGGATTGTACTTTTAGTCAGTGTGAAACTTTGTGCAGTTTTTATATTTACGTATTTAGCAGACATTTCTATCTAAAGGTATAGTTTATGTATTCCCTGGGAATCGAACCCATGACTCTGGTGTTACTAGTACAGGAATTCACAACTTATTTTACTTTACAAAACTGGTTTTCTTTTACTCTGATAACAAAAAGATTGCAATTGGATTGATGCTGTATTAGCACTTTGAAGACCTGGTGCTCACCTTTTGCTACTACTTGAAGTATTTTTTTCAATGCAGTGCATTATCTTGTATGTTTTATGTATGAAGCATAAATGTAGGCTGTGAACGTAAACATAAATATCATGAGGAAGGATCTAGAGTTTAAAGCTTTCATTTTAATGCTAAACCAGTTCATACAGACAGTAGTCATACATTTTTCTAGTGTGGGTGTGATGTAGATATTCTGAAGCCCTGAATTATCCTCACTTTATGGCTGTTTTTCGAGATGAGCAGAAATGGAGAACTGAAAGGAGGAACATCAACTTGTATATTATATATTTTTTGCTAAATATAACATATGTATGTTATATTTAGCTATATTGTCCTGCCATACTCTCTACCATGTGCTCTCCCCATATACATCTTAGTTTTCTTAGTTTTCTTTGCTTCAGCTGCTAGTTTGTAGGATCACATGGGTTCATTGTGCCTCTGTGCTGATCCAGTAACAGGGCTTTGGTGTCATCTTGGCACTCTTCTGCTTCTGCGGTTGGAGTGTGTGTGGTCAGTGTTGGCCAGCAGTGAAAGGGAGGAAAACAGTATTTATGCCAGTGGCATGCTAAGGGTTAATCTTCCACTGGGTCACAGGGCAAGATGGGAGAGGATGTAATCCTGTTAGCTTGGAGCATGTCTGCTGTGTGTGTGTGTGTGTGTGTGTGTGTTTGCATGTGTGAAAGGCTAACACATAATCTAGCTCAGAGAGAAAGAAAGTCAACAAGACAGAATGGGCTAGTGATAACGATTTTTTTTTTAAAAGCAGGAGTTCTGGACCATAGACAGCACAATATGTGGAAAATCATAATGGATGCATGCTTGCGCAATCAAATAACACATTCAATCAAACCAACGACCGAATCAAAAAGGGCACTTAGCTTCCAGTAGATGTGCTTGTTAAGTTGATTAGATGGTGTGTTTTGTATTACATGTCCTTTCAAAAGTGCCATTTTATAAAATTTAATAATCGGACAGAATCATGGTTTCAATGGGTTTTTACAAAAGCACAACATTTACATAAAAAAAGTTCTATATTTGTTTCTATAGTTCAGTTCCCAAAACCTTATCTACCTTCTAATGGAGCATTTTGACTGAAACCTCATAAGCGAGCAATTTGGAACACTCTACATAGGCAGCAAATCGTTTTTTAACAATTAATTTCAACAGACCTGGATGTTATCATTCTCCTGCATGCTGGTATTGACCTCTCTGTGAATGATACATGCAATTCTGCCTTTAGAGTTTGACAGAAAGAAGGTGTCTTTTATGCTGCCTACATTTTGGAGCAGTCTTCATGTCAAGAGCACACCTTAAAATGCTGCCTACGTAGGCAACCCACTAGGTTTTGGACCAGAGCCAGTTAGGAGGTCAGCTAGACTCTTGCTTAAGCACGTCAGATTAGACCGCATTAATATTTGTAGGCTGACTCAAGCTGATGTGTTTATTGCAGAGACCTGGGTGGATGAAAGCTGTCAGTATTACATTGTCCATGCCGATTGCACATGCACATGCACATGCAAGTAGTGATGTGGTAATATTCGTCTCACTCTTCTCTTCATATTGGCAATTGTCACTCCATTTCTGATTGCTTAAGTAATGACACAGTTTCTAGGGACAGAGTTCAGAAGTGGCAGGTTTGGATGTGATGATGTTTCATGTACGTGGTGACGGCAAAGCAAGATGACACAATAGTTTCAGCCGATGCAAGTTAACTTAAGGACATGACTTGTCTGAGACCTTTGAGATAGCCCTGATATTAACTTGATATTTATATAACCGATTATATTTTCCAACTTGGTAAAGGTATTTTTATCTTGTTGTCAAGACAAGAAAGCAGATTAGTGTACACTAATGATTAATTCATATTTTTTTACAACACTTTTCACAATACATACTGTTTCAAAGCATGTTTCTACATTAAAAGTAATAGAAAATGTCTTGAATTAACTGTATTTTTTAACTTTATTTATTTGGCATGACTAGCTGAGTGAAAGAGAAATATGCATTAGTGTGTCATGTAGTTTGATACATTTATGCAAGAAACAAGCAACACTTTTTGCCAATGAGGTAATTTGTCAATTTAAATGTAAATTTATCAAGTTTTAAGGATGTTTAGATCTTTTAGAGCTGGAAACCCTAATACAATTACTGATTAAAAATAAATATTATTTCATGCAGTTAAGTTTAAAGCAGGTTTAATATTTGATCTGCAAGGATCTCGTAAGCTGGTATAGCCTGTCTGAGTATAATCTGTCAAAACATTGTTTATTTGACATTAAAGCCTATTATTTTCTTCTAAAATAGGAATCGCATCCAGTTTCACTGGCCTCCAGCAGTGCATAGTGGGTGATTTTTACATTGAGAAGATGAATAAACCCCAGTCAAGACATTGAGCTGCTATTTAGACTCCTGCGCTTGTGGTGTGTGTGTGTGTTGCAAGTGAGAAGAAATGAGCCCTCGGGCTTGTTTGTTTAATTTGAACATTCATCCTTCGAGCTCACACAACCATATTACTTGTTTCAGTAATAAGCCCTAGATTAGCTTGAACCTCACCCCCACTCTTACAAACACACACATGATTTACAGTATCTTACCATGACAGGACCAAAGTCACAAACCTTGGATAACTTGGGATATATTTCTGCAGTCTTTGCTTAGGGCTTTGCCGATACAATCATATATTAATATTATTGTATATTATATAATATTAGAATTAAGTTTCTGCATGTAGATTGCATCTTTGTCTTTATTTAATTTTATTAATTTATTATTCATATTATGTATATCATCTCTCTGAATTGTTTATTCCCTCTTAACTCGCCAGCATTGCGGTTCACATCTATGACTCCTATGGAAAAATGTTCTCTCTTCTCGGAGGAGAGGACAGAGCTGCTCGCACCTCAGATGAGGTGTCCTTTTTATTTTATAGCTGAGAACAAGCCATCAGCCACCTCAAATATCTAACCTGCTTTTCTCCCTCTCTTTTTCCTCTGCAGATCATCAGAAACTGGAACGTGAGGCCCGAATCTGTCGTCTACTCAAACACCCCAATATTGGTGAGTTGGATCTTCATTATAATCTCTTTTTTAATTTTAGAGTAACAATAAAGCCATCAAAACTATAAATGAGAATATTTGAAGTATGGGATCATTTATGAGTTCTAAAAATGTTTAACAATTTCAGTTATTTTATCTTTGCGCTTCAAGATCATGACCCTTTGTCTAGTTTGCAGCTCTGCTCTTTCTAGTCATTCTCTCTACAAACTTTATAAGGTGCATCATTAGATGTTTTTCTAGTCCATCTCAGCCTTTAAAAAAAAAAATGAAATATTTATGCTGTGTTTATATGTTTACAAACCTTTATATCATTTTCATATCATCATACAAACTCTTTATATCATTTTGTAACAAAACATACAATATCATTCAAAAGTCTGGGGTCAATTAGAAAGAAATTAATTATTTTGTTCCTCAAGGATGCATTGAATTGATCAATAGTGACAGTAAAGACTTCCTATTTCGAATAAATTCTGTTCTTTTGATCTTTCTGTTCATCAAAGAATCCTACAAAAACATTAAGCTTCACAACTGTTTTTACCTTTAATAATCAGAAATGTTTCTTGAACAGCAAATCAGCATATTAGAATGATTTCTGAAGGATCATGTGACACTGAAGACTGGAGTAATGATGCTGAAAATTCAGCTTTGCATCACAGGAATAAATTACTTTTTAAAATATATTAAAATGGAAAACAGCTACTTGAAACTGTAATTATCTTTCACAATATTACTGTTTTACTGCATTTTTGATTAAATAAATGCAGCCTTGGTGTTCATAAGAGACATATTGCAAATACATTATAAATAAATCTTACCAACCCTAAACTTTTAAATGAGACATTCAATTTAGTCCAAACTTTCAAATGGTGGTGTACATGTGAGTTTGTCGCAGTGAGCATCTGCAGCTTTGTGAGTGTTTGTGTGTGTGTGTGTGTGTGTGTGTGTGTGTGTGTAAGCTGGTGGGACTGAATTAGGTTGAAGTATTTTTGCAGCAAAACATACCATGTCCTGCAGAACAGCCTCTCCCAAAACTCATTGTCTTACAGAACAAAATGAACTGTGAGGGGAAAAATGAGCTAATAAAGAGCAGAATTTAGTAGGCAGCAATAGGAGAATGAATAAGAAAGCAAAGAGGGAATTAGAAGGAGGTGTGGAGACAGAAAGTGGGAGAGACTGATCGGTAGAATGAGGAGAAGACCTAAGAGGGCAGAACACAATAAATTACTTTTTAAAATATATTAAAATAGAAAACAGCTACTTGAAACTGTAATTATCTTTCATAATATTACTGTTTTACTGCATTTTTGATTAAATAAATGCAGCCTTGGTGTTCATAAGAGACATATTGCAAATACATTATAAATAAATCTTACCAACCCTAAACTTTTAAATGAGACATTCAATTTAGTCCAAACTTTCAAATGGTGGTGTACATGTGAGTTTGTCGCAGTGAGCATCTGCAGCTTTGTGAGTGTTTGTGTGTGTGTGTGTGTGTGTGTGTGTGTGTGTGTAAGCTGGTGGGACTGAATTAGGTTGAAGTATTTTTGCAGCAAAACATACCATGTCCTGCAGAACAGCCTCTCCCAAAACTCATTGTCTTACAGAACAAAATGAACTGTGAGGGGAAAAATGAGCTAATAAAGAGCAGAATTTAGTAGGCAGCAATAGGAGAATGAATAAGAAAGCAAAGAGGGAATTAGAAGGAGGTGTGGAGACAGAAAGTGGGAGAGACTGATCGGTAGAATGAGGAGAAGACCTAAGAGGGCAGAACACCTGAAAAAAAAAAAAAACAGCAGAGCCATCGAGATGGGGGCGATGGCGACAAAGAAAGAGGTGAAGGTAGAGGGATGGAGAGAGCAGCAGAGAGAGATGGAGAGGAATAGAAGAGGAGTGGAGCTCTATAAATAACTGTGCTGAGGTGGGAGATGCTGGTGGGCAGCAGTTCAGCCCAAATACCGTCATTATCACCAATGAGCTCAGAGGTGAGCGAGTGCAAGAAAACCACTAAGAAGATGAAGGAAGACATGCCTGCTTGAGATTAGGGTGTATTATATGTTCGTTAATTGTTAGTAATCTTATCTTTCGGTTTGTGTTCATCAAGTATCAAATAATAAGAGAGAATAATTAAATGGAAGGGTCTCACTGGAATATTTGCTTGGATCATGGTTATTAAAAGATAAGCCATGTTTCTTTATTACATTTTCAACAAAATAATTACATTGTGATGTATTCTGTTATATTACTATGATAATTACTCATACCGTGTTATATATTTATACCCCTGGGGCCGTATTACAGAAACATCCCACAGTAGAATCCTGTCTTATCTGTTTGGTAACCATGGTGATTTCAGTAAGAATCTCATTTAGGATAGAAGACTTGAGACAGGGAGTTACGGTAACGTAATCCCTAATACCGGTATATATTTTGAGATTATTGCTTTTGCCTGCTTGGCTGATTAAGTTAAAAAAATGCACAATTCAAAATATATACCATTTATCATTTATTTTTCAGTATATTTGAGGGTTTTTTAAAGTGTTAAAATAGTGTAAAATTATTTCAGAAAATATTTGGCAGCATGAAAAAACATTTAAATAACACTTACTCAAACTCTTTTGAAAATTCATGTAATAATCAGGCAATAATCTTAAAAATAAACCTCAAATAGCTTTTAATGTGTTTGAAAGAAGTCTCTTATTTTCATCAACACTGCATTTATTTGATTTATTGTGAGAATGTATAATGTCAAACAACTTTTGTATTTTAATATATAAGCCATTACTCCAGTTTCTTCTTCTTCTTCTTCTCCTTCTCCTTCTTTTTCTTCTTCTTCTTCTTCGTGTTGAAAAATAGTTGTGCTGCATAATATTTTTTTGTGGGAAACGTGACAAAATGCTTTCAGGATTCTTTGATGAATAGAAAGTTCAAAAGAATAGTATTTGAACTTTTATGTTCATTGAATATTATATAACTCATCTTCCGCTGTTGTTTACTTGTCTGTAATTCTACTGTCTGGCATCTTCCACACCATTTTGAGTTGTATATCCCACCCTTGACCTCAACTTCACACTCTATTCAGGGTCTTCCTCCTCCATTCTCTCTGTCTCACTCCTTCCTCTTTTTTTCCCCGCTATCTCACCGTCTTTGCATCGGATGTGTTTTCTTATTCTCATCTCTGTTCCCCCTCAGGCAATGCCGTCCCCTTTCTCCTGCTCCATCACCTGTATCACTCTTTCTCTCCTTTACTTTCTCTTCTGTCGTCTCTCCTCAAGTGGACAGCTTGTCATGTTTTCTGCTTGGGCTGCACATAAGTGCTGAACAATAGAGCCAGTGAAGGAAGAGAGATGGAGAGAGAGAGAGACCATCTGATAGGTTAAAGAGGAGAGAGGACTGAGTGCTCATTGCTACTGGCGCAGTTGACACACTAATGTGTATTTCTCTTTCACTCAGCTAGTCATGTGTTTGTAAGTTTGTGTGTGTGTATATATATATATATATATATATATAAATATAAATAAAACACGCACGCGCGTGTGTGTGTGTGTGTCTGTATATGTGTGTGTGTGTGTTTTGTTAGGCACAGAAATTGAACACTACTAATAATAGTAATTATTATTATTAAATTCAAAATATATTAAGAAGGTGACACGTGTAATGATGATGCTGATAAATATAATAATAATTATGATTATTATTAATGCTATTAATATTATTATTAGATCAATTGAAAAAATAAAATTAGAGGTGAAATGAGTAATTTCTGTACAAACAAAATTGCAAAAAAAAAAA